TCTCTCTCTCTCTCTCTAATTAATATAATAAGAATAATATAATACATTAAATATAAACTTATAAACTACTATAAAAGGAAAAGAGCGTATGTGAGAATCGAATGTCCCTACGTTAATTACTACGATAATTGCAAACAAATGGCAATTGATTCCGATTATTTTAATTTTGTACAAAGAATTCTTGTTGTTCAATACAAAATTGGAATATATTTATTTAAGGTCCTCCTGTTTGTTCTAATAATTATTTGACAATAGAGTCTTTAGAGAATCGAACCTCAAAAGTAAGGCGCTGTGCTATACCTCTAAACCACCGAGCTGTTGAAATTATGTTCGGAATAAATTAAATTTATCACTACTACAACGCAACGGTATATTCTGCGCAATCAGCTCCCACGCACAAACTCTGGCTACCGTTTTCTACTGTACACTATGGTAAGTTATATAACCCAATGTATTTTGTTCTAAAGTTAGTCTATACTCATAAGTAGAAATACATATTTTACTTTTTTATAAGTTTGTTTATAACGCATAATGTTGATAAATTACTTGACCGACTTAAAATTTATTTTATCCATACATAGATAGATGTTACTGACAACATAATTGAATACATCAACTTAAATCTCAAAGCACCTGTTTTTAACACTGGCCGTCACAAAAAAATTAATAATTTACATTTCTTATACATTCTTCGGCGATGGAAAAATCATTAATACATCAAATCACTATGAGAGACGGCGATAAGCTCGATCATTTCCACATTGAATCCAAATATACCCAAAGAAATGGGAACATCAAGTGTTACTATATAAACAGTAACAATTAATAGTAAACACGGCTGACTACACCATCTATCTAATCAATACCATTGCTAGACATAGGCTTTTTTTTAAATGTGTGAAAAATTTTCAAAAAACCGTCACCTCGCCGGAGGAATGGCGGGACGGTGGAATTTTACCCACTAAAACCCACACAATGTACCTGAAAGCGCCTATGCCGGAGCTAGGGGTTTGGCATGTGCATTGCACGCAGGCGATGAACATAGTTCTGGCGAACTGTAGTAGGTAGGCCAACTATAGGTGTGAATATATACAATTTTATTATTTAAAAAAAATTCAGCTGCTTTGCCACTTGTGGACAATATAGCCAACAAGCGATATGGACATGACTGTTGAGTTATTTGTGAATGAATGTCTAAAGTATAATGTTATAAAGTATACAGCAACTTCGACCATAGACTTAAGTAACGATAAACAATGCAAATAGGACTAGTACTATTACTATCGATGGTATTTAGGACTTGAAGTGTCAAGTTAATGTGCCTATACTAGTAATAGTTCTGTCAACACTCGAGACCCTTCCATTAGTACCTCCCCAGATAACATACATTTAAATTAAGTGTAAAGTCAGTCCACGTTCCGATTCCGCGACGTATGTATATTACAATAAAACAATAAATTATGTAGATTAGGTAGCGACACCTCATATGCGAACGCAATGTTTTCACGTTGGTATACCAATTATTGTGATTAATCCTTAGAGAATTTATCACCATTGACTAACTGACCTTATTTGACTGCATATTCATATCAATATCTTCAACTAAGGGAGGGGGGAAAGGGATTGTTAGTAATGTGGACCCCATAGCCAACAATGTGCCATGGCAGGTAACCTTCTCCGTGGTCTGCAATGGAAACCAACGTAATAATATTGGCCACGATGGGGTAACTAACCTAACAACATGCTTATCTTATTGTCCTCCACTTATGGTACTCCATCAGCATACGGTTAGCGAAAGCGGGGACACTATTCTATCAAATTTCAAAATGTAATCTTCAAAGGTAATATATGTAATTTCGATTCAATCCACTATACTTTTTTGGCAATTGACGATGGACTATATTACCACAGATAACATATTACTGTCTTCAACCCTATCTGATAATAAATAGACATAGTGAAAATGAATAAATACCTACATTTGACGTTGTCTTAACAAACTATGGATCTATTGTCATTACAACTAAGATACCCTTTGTTCTATTTTATTGCATCCATTAATTAAATCTATATGATTATTAAAATTCATGGACAATGCCAATGGTACATAAAGAGGTAGACAATAATACGAATTTCAATGATTATCGTGACTCATCAAGTCACAGGTGCATTTGCGTGCAATGATTCTTATAACAAAATAACTCGTCAAGTTAATAAATCAATGTACAGAATTCTTCAAATTCCTGAGTGTAATTGTGTACTGCAAATACCTAAATCGACCAAAGTATTTATCTTAACATAGTATAAACGAACGTCGCCACCGGTAGGAACTCACTTAGGTATATCTTATAAATTGCGCAATGAATTTTAATGCAGTTTTCAACAATAGATAGAATAATTCAAGAGGGAGATTTATATGTACAATATATGCGTTATAATAGTATATAACAAGCCGATAAATTCAAACATTTATAATGCATCCGTGCGAAGCCGGGAGGGGTCGGTATTTTTTATGTATAAAATATATGTCCGTTTCTCGTGTGTGCAGTTGAAATCAAGTTGTAGTCATAAAACTCTCCATAAAAACCTCACCCGCCCTAGACAACATACTTTGAGCAAGAATGCTCGTTACGTAACTATCACGAGTTACATAGCCAGCTTCGCAGAGTAATTTATTCGTGTACACTTAGATAAGTACAGTCAGATAGAGATATTAGCAATTTCAAATTGATAACATCAGTAATTTCTGAAATATATACTGTGATAGACAAACGAACGAAGAATCATGCAATAAGATTACTATTTTACCATGGTAGTTCATTCATTCATAATTTACGATTCGCAATCTTGTCGGTGGAGGATGTTTTTAGTTACGAACTCTTTTTTTAACGTGAGGAAAAATCTTCAAAAAGACAGTCTATTGAAGATTTTTAGATTTTCCCGCCAGAGGGGTGACGACTGTGTGTGAGATGTTTAACCACTAAAAACCACACGGTGTACCTACGGTGTACCATTTCCGGAGTCACGAGGACCCTAATTTAAAAAAACACTTGTTGGTTTGTCAATCTTTAATCAAAAGATATCAACAAAATCCTTATCAACTTTGATAAAATTATAGAATATAAAAGTTTTAAAGATCAGATCACATCAGAAGCATCTTTAAATCATATCTGTAATATAACAATATCAAGTAGACTTCATTTTCTGCATTTATCTTAAAATTTGGGCCGTTGAGAAGAAACAACTGGCTAGAGAGCCTGGAAGCACCACGTGCAAGATGCTGGCGTACCTATTTTGTTCTAAATTAACAGAAAATTCTGCCAAGAACGGTTGTGTTCAGTTTACTGGCACGGATTATGTCAACGGGAAAATTACGAGGTCAAAGTTTGACTTACAGTTTCAAATACATCGTAAAGTGACATTCTCACGATCCTAACTCTTGATAGAGTGGTCAGATGCAGTATATTTTCTGTAACTAGTAAAAATGACGAGTTACTACAATGAAATTAAATTACAAATTGAATTACTAAGCAGTATACCCAAATCTACTGGAGTCAGAGGAAACAAACAATCTCTGTCCCCCTTTATTTATTAAATTTATAACCTCTGTTTTATTATGATCGAATTTTCGATCCCCTTTAGATATAGATCATACATTTTTCCCCGCCTATTCTCAATAATATGATCTGCCTGTTTTCTTTATCCCTTTCAAGCACTTCCCCATTCCTTATTTTATCTTTCCAGCTAATTCTTTCCATCCTTCTCCAACACCACATTTCCTTTTCATTTTGTAGCAATGTCCACGTCTCACAGGCATACAAGGCTATAATCCAGATGTAGGCCTTCATAAAACCTTTCCGAGAGGACTTTCTTAAATAGGAAGTTTAAAAAAGTCTCAATGCAGATAAAACAGTTTCATGGTGGTTTTGTGGTAATATTATGTACATTATTTACAAACGTAACCAATTGCGAGTTTACTTCTGAGTTTTACTTGTGATTACTATCAGCGTGAACGTTATGGTAATAATAGTGGTATAACGGGTGTGGTAGAAGCTCGCGTGCCGCAGTCCAACAGTCCGCAGTACATTATATACCGCAAGATATAAATATAAAATCATTTTGTACTGTTCACTACTAATAATGCAAAGCAAATAATGAGGTACTTTAAATATTTTAATTTTTGCATATTTTGTTACAAACTTTACTAGCTATTTTTATTACAATTACTGACTGATTTCTATGAAAATTTTATGGGAAATAAAGCACGTAATGTAGTTATTCTGTTAGGTAATGTAAAAAATATAATGAGAATCCCTATAGACTTCGACTGCTTTTTTTAATGTACCTAATCAATATTTTTGTATTCGTTCCCGTGATTAAATATGTGTTCACGACATTCACCTGCACATGATCTTCTGAATCACCGTATCAAACAAAAACTAAAATAATCCATGGTTCGATCTTCTACAGACAAACACACTTTCGTTGCATCAATATATGATATAAATTTACAGAGAAGTAGGTACTTATATTTGAAAGCTCGTTGATGTCTTTACAAGGCAATTGTGTCAGAGTACGGAATGTTTGAATTTATATAATTATATAGACTGAATTATTGAAGTGGATTTATAATAGATTAAACTTAATTATGTTACATGTAGCAGCCTGTGTCTACAATTTGCTAATTGTGAAAAAAAAAGTTCAGTTGCTAATTTATAGCTGTATATATTAATATTCTAATTGGATTGTGAATTCTGTTTCACGTAATCTAAATTAAAAAAGTTAAACGAAATACATAACTTTCGTTCGAATATTTACGTAACTGGGCAATATATAACAATAATCAATACTATAACAAAATTAAATACACAGCCACAGTGTCGAAGGTTGCCTTTGCTATTAGTACCCCAGACCGGTATCATAACAAAAACATTTCGCATGAACATTGAAATAATTTATATTTGCACAGCGTTACCTCACCCATACAAAAAAATACAAACCTTAACTCATAAATTCCAGATTATATATAAATAAATATAGCTGCACAATCATACACCAAGTGACAATGACAAAAAAATAAATAAACACTTTATTATGTTTTAAACAATAAACACTTCGATATTTTAAAACACGTTTGAAATTAGAATACGCGCGTTCGCGCTGCCATACGGCGCGATACTGGGTCGTGATTGGTAGTTAAAAACGCGGGAATGCACATATATCAAGTGACGTTTAAGTGTAAAACGAGTTATGTGTACTATGCAAATAAAGTTATGACGAAAGACTAAAATAATTTAATACCTGTTGCACGCTTGAGGACTGTATGTCCTTCGATACAAATAAAATCTAGTTTTGCGTTTAATTTTTATCGCCGGCTTACTAGCAACTTTCGTATTAAATATGGCTACGGTTAGGCTTATTTAGTTTAGACAAACTCTTCATTACAACTCTTCAATACATATATAGCTTATTTTAATTGTATCGCATACCAGATTTTTTTATAATAAAAGAACGTGTCTACTACTACATTATTAAAAATACGGGAGGCTTTGGAGATTACCTAAAAACACAGTCATGGCAATTCGAACTCTATGTGAGTACGATTCCGCACAAATAGTACTAATTGTTTTATAATAATCAATTTTCATACTGGTACATATAAGCATTTCTGCTATTAAAATATTGCCTTGAATATTGTTCTCACTAAGCCAATATGTTTATTACATAAAACTAAGTATTTAAAAGCACTATTCCAAGAAAAAATTTCAATTACACACAATGCCATCGTCCATAAAAATATATAATATATCTAGGTACAAAATACAAAAACAAGACAATATTCTCTATTCATAAATTTTTATTTTCTCATATTCGTCCATCTCCTTTTAAATAATGGAACAGGCAAAGATCCTTTTACCATACAGACTAGTCTACTTGTATTCATAGAGGTTAAGAAAATGAACACCGAACAAATTACCATACATTATGAAACGGAAAGATTAAAATATAATTTATAATCTGTCGCTTACTATAAAATTAGGATACCGAAACTAGGTCTGCAATGTGTTTTGAAAGCGTACGCGCAGATACGGGACAGTCACAAACTATCGACTAGTGAGTCACTCTGTGGAATATTAAACAGCTGTACACACAACGGCATCTACTGTTATGGTATTAGGCAGTTGTTTGCCGACGTGTCTGCATACTTCCTTCCTTAATAATAATCTATATTTGTAGCCTAAAAGTCTACAGAATCTGCAAATATAATTAAGAGTTAAGTATGAAACGTAAATTATTTTTAATTTGCGAATCAAGCCCTTTCCTAAAGGGTACAGAAGTAAACCAAAGTAAGTAGTAAGTAATAAGATACTAGTCTCGAAGTCATACCACTTTTTTATCGATTATCATGGAATGGTACACCCAACTGCGCTAACGGTTTACGCTGGCGAGGCACTAGTGGAGGTTTATAAGATGAATATAAGATCAGGTCGGTTAGACTATCGTGCCAAATTCTCTAAAAAATTATCATGATGGTATCCAGGGGGAACCGCACAGAGATCTAACATGGTACATTGCTAGCAATGAGAATATTAGGCCACATTCCCTTCCACCCCAGCTATACCACATTAATTCTCTGGAATAGCTCCTAGTAATATGTAGGTATCATGGGATCACAATTTGCAATAGAAATACATACTACATCGACCACAAATAAAGCAGATGATGATGATTATGAGGGTTACGATTTATTTCGTAATATCTATGGTATTAAGATATAAGGCCGTATTTTGATGCAAAACAGCCTAATATCATATAGCCCAAGAGCTCACGACTGCCAGACATACGTCATTTTAGTAAACGTGAAAGTTCTTGTATGTTCCTGGATCGTGGTAGGTTCCAGGTTTCATGTTTGGGGATCGTTCTTACCTGTGTTGGGGACACACATACAAGAACTTTCACGTTTACTAAAATGACGTATGTCTGGCCGTCGTGGGCTCTTGCTCTAATATATATATCCGTAACTATGACTATCATTTAATTTCGATTCATTTAACCTTCTCAGTTACTTAACGAGATTCATGTTTATAATTGTTTTTAATTGATTCTGGCGATCGATATCGGTAGTATAATTGATTAGACATCAATAATCTCTGTATTAATAACGAAAATTGTAAAGTTATTATAGCGGATAATGTTCCTTCCTTCCTGTCTATTTAAATCAATCAAATTATTAACTTATAGATACATAAATTAATGAATGATGAAAACGCCTTACTTACCAAAGGGAGTTCAATCCCCGCACAATACAAACATTTGTATTCATGAGTAATAGCTGTTTGTATTGGTCTAATAGAAATATGTCCATATGAGGCAGTTGTTTAAGCGCTTATATTACATTTTCTGGTAATTACAAACTAGATAGCGTGTAATGTGTGATATATGGTTATATGGTCTTTTAAGGCTTTTTAAGGTTTTTTTATGTCAATACAAATGAAATAATTTTGTAAATGTTTATCTATAATTGTATAATAAATAGAGTATTTAGTGCGCCTCCTACCTTCTCTCTTTATGTAAATACTCTCTGTTAACACCGGGTTGTCTGTAAGAGATTGCTGATAGCGATAAGACCGCCTTTTGTAAAACATTTATTTTCATTGTTTTATACTTACTGTCCTATGTTTATGTATGCGCAATAAAGAGTTATTATTATTTCAACTTAGATTTAGTCTAAGAGTTTTTAGACTATCAGCTCGTATTTAATTAATTATTAATATTTTTTATTTAATATAAAAATTAATTATAGTATTTTACTCATAAATATTAAATTATTTTTACCGGATCTAGAGCTTAAACAGAATCGTGTGCATAGGAATATCTGTAAATTTCAGCGGCCAAGCTGGTTGTTTTGTAAACTTTGTTCCGGTGATTAAAATGAACAGTGTTGTATTAATTTGTGTACAGGACTCCTTACAACCGGGCCGGCGCGGCGCATCGGCTGGATAGCACATTTCTTATTTTTAAATATTTATTTCTTTATAATATTTTTACGTACCCATCACCTTTGTTTATAGTAAAATCTTCTACGATCGCTATAGGCTCTTTCTTTTATATTTTTATAATATATTAATATATTCTCTACTACGTCTTTCATTACAATCATTGATTGACCCGGAGACCTACATGCAGTCTCACACAATTTGTTTGAAGTTACAAAGTACCTAAGACTTGGCAAATGGATGAGGTATTATGGGCGCTACGACATTTTGGTTGTGATCCTGTTCTTGTTTGTATAAATCCCACTGTTACCACATACAATCAGGTCAACAGTCAAATTATTTACCATTGTAATTTCTTAAAAAAATATATTTGTGGAAAATATGTCACGAGATATGTAGGTACACATTTGCCATCAATGCATCTACACAAAGCGGGCAGTGACTCAATAGGTTTCCCACGACTCAACAATACATCTTCATTCTCTTTCCGCAATCACGTGAACGAAAGAGACGGCGAGCATGTAGGATTTGCAATTGCATTGAACATTGACAAGACAAACGCCTTAAGTGAACCTTGAAACTAACGTGTTTAAAGGAAAACATCAATCTCCGGTCTTGTAGGAGTTTTTGTCCCATCAAAGGTCGCGCAATGGTCACATAGAAAACAAGATATGGCACTAATCAACGACAAGGCTTTTGCTATGATCATTAGAGTTAAAGCACTAAACATTTCCATGGTGCATTCCCACGATATTATCAACCTAGATGTTGTACTTAAACGGGATTATCTTCAGGGCCGAAATAATATTTGACAAAGTAGGCAAATGCCTAAGGGTACCGCATCAGCTATGGACGGCAAACGCACACAAAAGAAATTGAAAAGGTTTCAAAGTAAAAAAATATTGGAAAAAAATTGGTGGTCTCAATGACAGTAGATCATATCGTTGCTTTTTTTGGACGTATGCTATTATTAATATAAACCATCGTGTAACAAGTATAAGTAAGTAGTAGAACTAATAATCTGGTTGAATGACTATGATGTAGCGTATTTTGGAATAAACAATACTTTGGCATTTACTCATTACCTACTTAATTAATTCATTCATTCTTAATTTAAGAGCTATGCTCTTGTCGGTGGAGCTCTTGCCACTTTCCGCGATGTTCCATCATGCTCTTTAATTCTTGATACGACACGACTCCCATTTTGTCCTCAATTTGTTTGATGTAGCTATTCCTTGGTCTTCCCCCTCCTCCTCTTTCCTTCTATTTTCCCCTCAATAATAATTTTCATGAAATCATCGTGCCGTATCAAATGTTAGGACACTTGATACGGCACCCACTTAATATGCAGATATAAAAAAACATTAATTTTCTACTATTCTATTTTTTTTTTTATCAAGGAGTTCCGAGGATATATATGCCTAGGTTGGGCCCCTGGTTAACTTAACTGTATCAACTTGCTTCCATGTAATATATTGTATTATATACTTTCACAATGTTATACATGCTCATATTTCGCTGGAAATATATATAAACATATTTTGTGTCTGTCAAATTCGAACAAATTCTCTTGGGCGTAATTCTACACTTCTAGGCAACGGTTTAAATCCAATACAAATAGTTAAGATTTAAAGTGACTTACAAAAGCTAGTAATTTGTCTAATAAGAAAATAATTTGAGAGGCATTTTAGTTTCATAATCACAAATTATGGATTATCTTACAGTTACTAAATAAAAGTTATCGATAGATACCTCATAATTTAGCGTCATTTTTATTACAGGTAATTTGTTACAACAGTAACTAATCGTGCATATTCCAAGGATTCAAACCCACACATCCAATTTATACCAGCCACAATTAATAACTGAATAATTTCTCATAATGAACAAAATACAAAACACCCACCGAAATTTAAAACTAATTGTTTTAGTAGTAAAACATCTTGAATGTTTAAATAATTTTAACCTTAACCCAATAGGCGTGTGGGTGCATGTAATCACATACATTTGACCTGAGTAAGTACTCCTACACCTGTTTTGTTTCAAATTCACTTGCGTGACTCATGATTTATGGTTTGGCCTGACAAGTCTATGTTGTGTTGACAACATACTACTTAATACCTTCCCAAGGTTTTCATTAAAACTTTGGGTCAATTTTGCATTA